CCAGTGTGAAAATGCTATTCATGTTTAATTTTGAGAAAGATTTTGCCTTGCCTTAGAGCCAAAGATTAACTGTACCCCCTTTGCCCAAAGCAAAGTTGGGACACACTGGGAATAGAGGCCGGTTTTCCCTCCATCCTCCTCCCTGCCCATGGCAGGACATACATTTCCAAGCAACAAACAATATTCCTGCTTTTAACTTCCCGTGCCATGTATGATCCTGCTCTCACCATCTCTCAGTTGTGGATTCACTCAGATCTGGACTCAGTGCCTCCCAGCCACAGTGAAGCTTTTTGCTTATGTCACCCATTCCTGAGTCACGTCCCAGCAGAGTCACCTGCTTCCTTGTGAGCACACTGAGTCACCAGGGCTTGCACAACCGGAGTTCCCTGTATGCAAGGATCTGCTGGGAACCAGGGGGAAGACGCTGCTGCATGCGTCCAGAGTGATAAATAACACCAGAAGGGACCTTCAGCCTCGCAGGGAGCTGTAAAGCAGAAGGGGCTTAGAAGGGGGAGGACTGTTAACAGCCCCCAGCTGCTTCTGGCAAGCAGAAGTCCAACAGAATCAGCTGACAGCAGGCACATTTGGGTGAGCTTTTTAAAGCCACGTGCTTCAAGAATGAGCATTTGAGTTCAGGATATCTCAGATGTGGAGGGGAGGATGTTATCAGTACTCTCCCAGTATTTCATTACTATATTCTTTACTCTGAGAGTGGTGAGGTGCTGGAACAGCTGCCCAGAGAGGCTGTGGATGCTCCATCCCTGGAGGTGTTCAAGGCCAGGTTGGATGGGGCCCTGGGCAGCCTGGGCTGGTATTAAACAGGGAGGTTGGTGTCCCTGCCTGTGGCAGGGAGTTGGAGCTTCACAGTCCTTGAGGTCCCTTCCAATCCTGGCCGTCCTGTGATTCTGTGATTTCTCAGGCAGAATCCTTACAGAATCCTGCTCACCAATTGCTTTGACCTGGTTATTCATCTGGGTTTGATAAGAACCACATTATGCCCATCTTTACCCCAAGCCTTGTGGGAGATGTTCTGTTGCAAACACATGCAGGGCAGGATGGGGAGATGAACCATCAGCAGAAGATGCTCCAGGAGGCTGCACTGCCACAAAGCTCCGGGCAGCCTGGTCTGCTGGTTGGTGACCCTGCACACAGCAGGGGGTTGAAACAAGATGATCATTGTGGTCCTTTTCAATCCAGGCCATTCTATGATTCTATGGAGGAACGAGGTGAGGGAAAGAACGTTAAAAGATCTTCAAAAGAATGTACCACAGTGCTGTTTTGGCAGTCAAATCGTAGTGCTTACAAGCTTCCAATTAAGATGAATCAGGCAAAATGTGGAGGCACACATCCAGAAGGAACCTGCAGCACAGGCTTTGGGTTCAGGGAGAAGCATGTTAGTCTCCTGTCCCAAACCAAACCATAGAAGAAGCTGCATTCCATACCCTGGTTCTTTTTTACCCCTGCATCTTTTTTGCTTTCTTTGACATTTTGGGACAGTTTTTGCAAGAACTGTGAGCACCAGAGGTCATCCTAAAAGATGGTTTCACATCCCATTCCAGAGCCCGAAATTGCTAAACTTCTCTTTAGAGAATGACCAGGCACGTTTCCTCCCCAGTTTCCCATCTACTGATTATGTGCAGTATGGGAAGGGTTTTACATACAACTCATTTGGAAGGGTTTCTACTTCTCTAGAAATCTGTAGGTTTTCCTGCTGCCATTTATACCTCAGCATGAGTTTTTGGCACATTCACATTTCAATGGCTGCTTTTGGTTTAGAAGGCTTTACAAGACAGAGCTTAATGCAAGGAAAGTGAGGATTTTACTGCTGTGTTTTTTGCTTGGATGCACTGTGGGCAAAGGCCTTTGGATCTGTAACTGCCGTTCAGTATAATCTTTAACCAGCAAAGAGTAAAACCCTTCGCTATGCTTTTCTCTATGCTTTGGGAATGAAAACCATAATCCAAAAGCAAACACATCTCTAGCAATGTGCCCAGCCCAGCTGAGATGCTGACTCACACAGGAACCCTTCGTTATGCCCCTTCTTGTTTGCTTTTGCAGCCATCTGTGCTGTCTGAGATCTTGTTGACCAAAATCACCTGCAGGAGAACTGACTTGCAGCCTGACCTTTGCTTGGCGTAGCTCAGGGCTGAGATGCTCCCATGCTTGTTTTTCTTATGTCCAACAATTTCGTTTTTTCTCTCTTCTCTGTAAGCTGTGCATCAGCCCCTCTAAAACCCCACTTGTGTTGTGCCTCAAGTTGCACAAGGAAGGGTTGTGTGGGATATTAGGAAATATTTCTTAGAAAGAGCAGCGATGCTGTGGCACAGCTGCCCAGCGTGGTGGTGGGGTCACCATCCCTGGAGGGGTTCAATGTGGAGATGTGGCACTGAGGGACGTGGGCAGTGGGCACAGTGGGGTTGGGCTGGGGTTGGACTGGGTGAGCTTAGAGCTCTTTTCCAACCTTAATAGTTCCATGGTTCTGTAATTGTATGAGATGCACAACAAGCTGGCTATGAGCAAGCAGGGTGGCCAAGAAGGCCAATGGGATCCTGGGGTGCATTAAAAGGAGTGTGGCCAGAGGGTTGAGGGAGGCGATCCTCCACCTCTACTCTGCCCTGGTGAGGCCACACAGAATCATAGAATGGCCTGGGTTCCAAAGGACCACAATGATCATCTAGTTCCAACCCCCTGCTATCTGCAGGATCAATAACCAGCAGACCAGGCTGCCCAGAGCCACATCCAGCCTGGCCCTGAATGCCTGCAGGGATGGGGCATCCCAGTACAAAAATAGACAGGGATTTCCTAGGAGGAGTCCAGTGGAGGGCCACAAAGATGATGAAGGACCTGCAGCATCTCTTGTGTGAAGAAAAGCTGAGAAACCTGGGTCTGTTCAGCCCGAGGAAAAAAAGACAGAGGTGATCTGATCAGTGTTTGTGAATATCTAAAGGGAGGTGGGAAGCAAATGGTTGAAACAGAATTACAGAATCACAGAATGGCCAGGGTTGGAAGGGACCTCAAGGATCATGAATCTCCAACCTCCTGCCACATGCAGGGCCACCAACCTCCACGTTTCATGCTAAACCAGGCTGCCCAGGGCCCCATCCAACCTGGCCTTGAACACCTCCAAGGACGGGGCATCCACAACCTCTCTGGGCAGCTGTTCCAGCACCTCACCGCCCTCTGGGTAAAGAATTTCCCCCTGATGTCTGACCTAAATCTTCCCTCCCTCAACTTCAAACCATTTCCCCTTGTCCTGCTGTTATCAACCCTTTCAGAGAGTTGATTCCCCTCCTGTTTGTAGGCTCCCTTTAGGTACTGAAGGCTGCCATGAGGTCACCCCGCAGCCTTCTTTTCTCCAGGCTGAACAAGCCCAGCTCCCTCAGCCTGTCCTCATAGGGGAGGTGCTGCAGCCCCCTGGAAACCAGGCTCTTCTCGGTGGTGTGCAGCGATCGGACAAGGAGCAATGGCCCCTGCAGTGCTGTCATTATGTGACACAGGGGCTGGGTGGGACGCAGGCAAACTAAAGCTGGGAGACGAACAGCTGCAAGGGCACGGACTCAGCAAAGCACAGCCCTATGGGTAGACCGGGGGAGGGCTGGAGGCGGGCAGCGAGGAGATGCTGTCACGTCGGGGCGGTCCCTGCCGTGCTGCTGCCCGAGCCTTCCCCTCCTCTTTCCTTCCCCTCCTCTTTCCCTCCCCTCTCCTCCTCCTCCTCCTCCTCCTGCAGCCGCAGTGAGGCCGGGCGCGGTGCGGAGCGGTGCGGCGGGGCAGGTAGGGAATGGGGCTCGGTGGGGATCCGGGGATGGATTCAGCCCATCCCTAGCTCGGAACGTGAGGGCAGAGCTCTCTTGTCCTTCCTTTTCCAGCCGCGTTTGGTGCTTTTGCTTTGGGCTGTGGCTGCGGGTGAGCTTTGTCTCAAAGGTAACAGCGCCTCAGAAATAAGCACCATAACCCTGCAAGGGAGAGGGGAGGCGGGGAGGAAGCCTTGTTTTCCTAATGGATGGAGAGGAAACCTCGTTTACTGAGCGCTGGCTGAAAGGAGACCACTTGGCATTGAGGGGATGGTGTTGGCAGCCGCTGGGGCCGTCCCGTGATGCTCATCTCCTCCCCCCCATCATGGTACTCATCCCCCCTGTGGTTCTCCCCCCAGGATGCTCACCATGGTGCAGCACAGCATCGCAGCATCGCCCTCCAGCTTGGGGTTGGTGGTTTTTTTTGGGGGGGGGGGGCTTGGGCAAGAGTGAGGAGCCTGGGCAGTGCTTGGCTGTGCAGTTTGTGGGAAAGGGAAGAGAGAAATCAGTGTAGCTGCATTTGGGAGCAGTTCTCTGTATGGGAACACACATGACTATTGCATCATAGGGTTGCACTGAGTTGGGGGGGACCTTTAAAGGCCGTCTGGTGCATTTCCCCTGCAGTGATCACTACAGCTCCATCAGTGTCCAGAGCCTGCTCCAAACACGAGCACTACTGTGACTCTCTTCTTTTGCCAGCCATGTGCTGGCTTTCCTGGGAAGGAATTGGTGCAGAGAAGAGAGGCCTGCTTAAAAAAATCCCCGTCATGCAGTGGTAGCTGTAATGCAGTCAGCAGGCTGTGGGTTTGGTGCTTGCCCCCAGCCAGCAAGCCGAGCAGGGTGGCCAGCTGGACTAGCTCACTGCTTGCATGCTGCTTTGTGGCTCAGTCATACACAAACACCCCAGCCAGAACAAAGGACAAAGCTCGTTTGGGGCCAAGGGCTCTTGCAGGAAGAGGACACATGACTTGGGTGCCCTGGAGGGGTTGGTGATGGGTTAGATGTTATCTTCCACAGACACTTTGGGATGGGTGTGTGGGTGCTTCCCCGAACGGCTGGAGGGGTCTGAGCCCTGTGCTGAGAGTGCTTCAGGGCTCTGACTTATCTCCCAGAATGAGATCATGTGAGCTGCGCTCTGCTTATTTTGGTGTGGTTTCTTTTCTGCCTGTGCAGGGAGAGCAGGGAAATGAGTTGCGTGCTCAGCTGGGCTGACGTGGGGAAGACCTCTGTGATGGGGTTTGCAGTGGAAAGGTTTGCTCAGCATCTGCTGCTGCTGCAGAGAAAGCTGCAGTGGGAGGAGGCTGAGCATCTCTGGTCTGTGTGTTCATAGCTCTGTCTGTGCAAGGAGGGCAGGGAACTTTAGCAGGGATAGAGAGGGGCAATGCGTCCTCCTTGCAGGCAGATCTCACTGCTGCAGCTGCTCAGAGTGCTGTCAGGCTTCGTGCTCAGGCATTTCCTCTTTTCAAGCATCTGAAGGGCTGAATTCTTTGAGTTCTGTGTGGGGTCAGAAGGGAGGTTAGCTTGGTCTTGCTTTGAGAAATGTCATTCCAGGATCCCAGATTACAAAGTGAAAGGCAGGAGACCTGAAGACCACCTTTGCCACAGCCCTCAGCGGCCATGCCAGGTTTTGAGCCTTTGTGGGTTCTGGCAGCAATGGATTCCTCCATCCACATAGGAAAGGAACAGGGAGGTTTGGTAATAGGGGCCTGTTCCAAAAGCGAATGCAGCTGCTGCTTGAATGGAGAGCTTCACCTTTCTGTGTTGCTTGCTAAACAAGCCACAAGGTGTGGCTTTTGCTGCTCATTTAGCCTGCAAGAGCTGAGCAGGAGCAGAATACAGGCACACCCGGAGCTGCTGTGCTTGGAGACAGTGCTGAGCTGCTGTGCTTGGGGACAGTGCTAGGTCGGGTGGGACACCAACCCTATAGGCAAAGATGGGGGTAGGAGGGAGAGAAGGAAGAGCAGATTTCTGCAGGCGCTGTGGCTGATGCCAGTTTGGTGTTAGCACTGCTCTCAGGGCTGGTGTGCAGCATGCGAAATGGCTGCACTGCTCAAGGGCTGGGGGAGGAGAGAGTAGTTGTGGGGGGAGAGAATGGTGCATGATAACCCTGCTGGGGAAACTGTTGTGCTCAGCCTTATCTGCGGGCACGGAGAGATGGTGGCAGAGCTGCACGTGATTTCCCCCAGGCGGAAATGCATCCTGGGCTCTTCTATAGATAGACTGGGCCTCTTGCTAAATCCGTGGGGGCTGGGAGGGAGGAATCACATGAGAGCAGGGCTTTCCCTTTCCATCTTCACCCCAACCCTACACCGAGTCACGGGGTGCTCGGCGTCATCCAGCTGGAAGCACCAAACCCCCTGACGGCCCTGCTAGCACAGCTTGCTGCAGGCTGGGGAGGGGCTGCTTGCTTACTGCAGTGGCTCTGGAGGTTTCCATGGGGAGATGTGGCTGCTTCTGGCCTCGAGCCACGTTTTGGGGTGTAAGCAAACTGTGCTGCATGAAATGCAAGCGCTGCTCAAAGGGGAAAGCGCCAGGAAAGGAGCGGTGTCTGCTTTCGGTTTGGCCGCAGCTCCGGTGTGCAGCCCGTGTGGGCTGGCTGTGTGGTCACATTTGTGAGCACCCTGCTCACAAACAGATGGGGATCAGGTGGCTGCTTCCCTTCTGTGCTCTGCTCCAGGAAATTCAAGCTTGGCTGCTGGGAGGGGGGGTATTTATAGCCTTGGAGCAGAGCTGTCCTTGTGCCAGTGGGGGGGGGGGGGGGGGGGTAGTGGTCCGGTGCTGCATTCAGCTGAGGTGGTATGGAGGGACTGGGTACATCTTGAGGGGGCAGAGGGGTTGAATTCTGTTGCTGTATGGGGCATCTGCAGGTGCAGAAATGCTCTGTTGTTGTCCAGACACTGACAGATATATCCACACCCTGCCCACCAGTGTTTCAATTGCCATTTTGCAACCATCCTACACCAGAGAGGCTTTTGAGACCTCAGGGACCCCATCCTCTGGCAGCAGGTTTCTGCTCTGGGAGAAACCTCTATGTGAGCAAATGTGTAGGGAACTGCTTTGTAGAAGTGATATTTGGGGTGAGAGGACCCTGGTGGGAGCCTGGTCTGGTGGTTGGCAATCCTGCCCATGGCAGGGGGGTTGAAACTAGGTGATCATTGTGGTCCTTTTCAACCCAGGCCATTCTGTGATTCAACCAGCTGTGCACTGCTATGTGCAGTCCTGCTGAAAGCATCGAGAGGCTGCGGGTTGGGGGAAAGAGTTAATAAATAGCAGGAAAATAAAATAAAATGAAGCAAAGAACTCCTTTATACAGTCGGCCGCAGCCGTCTGGGCTTGTTGCTGGTGGAAAGTAGGGCACTCCTGCTGGGTTTGCTTCTCTGGAAGGGCTGAACTTGGCTGCATGTGGGTGGAGGCAGTCTGCATGGGGCTGTGTGTGTATCCCCGGGGCTGCTTTGGCCTGTTGGGCCAGCAGGGCTTAAGCCTGGGCTTGCAAGAGGGGAGAGCAGGGTAGTTGGCATGGCCCTGAGCTGCTGGAGCTCAGAGAGCACTGGGACACTGCTCTGAGCCATAGGGATGGGGTTTGGGGGTGCTGTGCAGGGACAGAGGTTGGGCTTGTCGGTCCCTGTGTGTCCCATCCAACTGGAGGATGTTCCAGTGAGTTCTGCAGGCCTGCAGTTCAATCACGTGTTTCTGTCTCCTAGCCCTTATCCTTTAGTTTTGTGGAAGTAAAGGGCAGCTTGTAATACCCTCCAAGTTCAATCCCTTGGATCTGCTTCAAAAGGGACTTTCCTGCTGCTGCTAATCCTGCAGGGTTGCCATGTCTGATTGCTTCTGAGCAGCAGGAGGGAGTTACTGTCTTGCTCCCGTGTCCTTCCTGACCTTTCCTCCCACGTGGTGCTCTGTCAACCGGAGCTCACGTAGGGACATCCTCCAGCAACATCCAAATCTGGGTGCAGGTGCAGTGTCCCATTCTGCAGCCAAGATGTGGCCGTCCTTGTCCATCCTGTGTGTCCTGGTGGCCTTCGCCAATGCCCGCAGCATTCCTTACTACCCACCCCTCTCCAGCGACCTGGTCAACCACATAAACAAGCTCAACACCACCTGGAAGGTGAGTACTGGCGTGTGCTTGGGGGTGCATTGAGGGGCAACCTCAGTGGGACTCGGTAGATGTGAACTGGGAGTCTCACCACGGTGGCTGCATCAAGGCTGTGTCTCTTCCCAGGCAGGGCACAACTTCCACAACACTGACATGAGCTATGTGAAGAAGCTCTGTGGCACCTTCCTGGGTGGGCCCAAGCTCCCTGAAAGGTAAGTTATGGGAGAGAGTGGGGAGAGCCTCCTGGGAGCTGCTGTGGGTGCTCCTGGAGTGTCTGTAGGGGAGGGGAATCACAGAATTGTAGGGGTTGGAGGGGACCTGCAGAGCTCATCGAGTCCAACCCCCTGCCAAAGCAGGTTCCCTACAGCAGGTCGCACAGGTCGGCATCCAGGCAGGTCTTGAACATCTCCAGAGAAGGAGACTCCACCACCTCCCTCCACTGTTCCAGTGGATCTTGCCCTGCAGGCTGTGAGTGGGGTTCCTCTGGATGCAGCTCACTGGTGGGTATCTTGCATGGGGTTAGGCACAGGAACATGGAATCATAGAGTTACCAAAGTTGGAAGAGACCTCCAAGATCATCCAGTCCAACCCACCCGCCTACCACCAGTATTTCCCCGCTAAATCGTGTCCCTCACTACATCATCTGCATGTTTCTTGAACGCCTCCAGGGATGGTGACTCCACCACCTCCCTGGGCAGCCCTTGTCCACTCAGTGGGTCGCTCCACCACATAGGAGATCAGGTTGGTCAAGCAGGTCCTGCCTTTCATGAACCCACGCTGGCTGGGCCTGATCCTCTGGTTGTTCCACACATGCCATGTGATCTAACTTAAGCTGATCTGCTCCATAAGCTTCCCTGGCACTGAGGTCAGGCTGTAGTTCTCCAGATCCTCCTTACAGCCCTTCGTAGAATGACAGAACGGCCTGGGTTGCAAAGGCCCACAATGCTCATCCAGTTCCAACCCCTTGCTGTGTGCAGGTCACCAGCCAGCAGCCCAGGCTGCCCAGAGCCACATCCAGCCTGGCCTTGAATGCCTGCAGGGATGGGGCATTCACAGCTTCCTTGGGCAGCCTGTTCCATGCTTCACCATGCTGTGTGATGCGTCCTGCCAGCTATTTGAGTGACTGTGTAAGTTGTAATCCTTGAAACTCAAAGCACTGGAGGAGCTGCCGACCTGGCCTGAAGACTTCAGAAGTGTTTGTTCTCCTTCAGTAGTCAAATAACAAGAGCACTTCTCCTCCAGGTCACCTTCAGAAGCCATAACAAGCCTTCTCTTTCTCCCTTGCAGGGTAGATTTTGCTGCAGACATGGATTTGCCAGATACCTTTGACTCGCGGAAGCAGTGGCCCAACTGTCCCACCATCAGTGAGATCAGAGACCAGGGCTCCTGTGGCTCTTGCTGGGTAAGGACACGTTGTCATTGGGTCGTGTTGGTGCAGAGTTTGGTGGACAAAAAGCATCCCCATTGAGTTTTTTCACTGAGCCATATAAATGTGGGCACGAGGGATCCTGCGATGGGGTTTATCCCAGCCAGGCTCATGCTTGCCACGCTCAGCTCGTCCCCGGGAAGGGACAGAAATCTGCCCAGTTTCTCTTCCCATGGGCGGCTCTAATGGCCTTCCCTTGTTTTTTGGGGGCTGCCCACAGGCTTTTGGTGCTGTGGAAGCGATTTCAGACAGAATCTGTGTTCACACCAATGCCAAGGTGAGCGTGGAGGTGTCGGCGGAGGACTTGCTGTCATGCTGTGGCTTCGAGTGTGGCATGGGGTGAGCTGTTCCTGGGACTTGTTTGCTTCCAGGGTGGGTGGGAGGAGCAGGGACACAACCCAGAGGTGCCTAATACTGATTCATCTCATCTTGCCCCATCCCTGGAGGCATTTAAGCCCAGGCTGGATGTGGCTCTGGGCAGCCTGGTCTGCTGGTTGGTGACCCTGCACACAGCAGGGGGTTGGAACCAGATGGTCAATGTGGTCCTTTTCAACCCTGGCCATTCTATGATTCTATGATCTGTTAAATCCTCCCCATCAACAAGAAGCCACTCCAGGCATTTATAGGTTCTAGAGTTACATGGGGACATAATGGGGTCTGAAGGTCTCTCTGGGCCACATCCCTCCTCCAGCAGCAGCCTGGTGATGGTGGCTCATGTGGAGAGGGCAAGCACATAACAGTAGCTGGCCAAAGGATCTTCTGCTAACCACAGAGCCTTGGTTGTCAGGCACTAGCCCTTTTACCTGTGGCTTTTTGTGGTCTTTGGGAGCAGGGCTGGGAGTGGGGTTTTTCAAGCTGAGTGTTGCTGGTGGCAGGTGATCAGGGAGATGGTGAGGAGACTCCGACTCCAGGCACTGCAGCTCGGGGATTTGGAGGCATAAGGTTCTCTTAGCTTATTGCTGTGAGGCTTCAAAGCATTGATATGCAGAATGCTTCCCTCTATTTGTCCCAGACGGGCTCAGTTGCTCCCTCCTCTCTCCGAAGGGGATGGTTTTGGCTCTGAGCAGGCTGGAGCTCATACTGCTGCCTCTTTCTGCAGGTGCAATGGTGGTTACCCCTCTGGTGCATGGAGGTACTGGACAGAGAGGGGCCTCGTGTCCGGGGGTCTCTATGACTCTCATGTGGGTAAGTCCTGGTGCATACACTGGTGAAAGCAAAGAGGAGCATCTCAGCTTGGTTATAGGATCGTTTCCTTGAGGGCATGCTGGTCTGCATCCTAGTGGCTGCTCCCTCCTTCAGGTCTGAGCCTTGGGCCCATCTGGCTCTTACTGTCCCCACTGTCCCCCAATTGGGACAAAGGTCCCTGAGCAGTACTCACCTGCAGGAGGCCTGCACAGAAGGCAACACAGTGGTCAGAGCTACAGCCCCACAGGTCTTTGCTTTCATAGTCTGGGCAGGCCTGAATTAGGCTGTGAATGGTTTGGGTGGCTTTAAACCAGTTTAATATGCTTTTGGTGAGAGCAAGAATCCTTCTGACAGATTTCTTCTTTCAAAAGCAATTTCCAGGCTGGAAAATTGCCCTGTTTGCTCATCTGGTGATGACCTACTCCTGCTTGCACCCACTGATCCATAGGGTTTCTGGGTCAGAAGGGTCATGCCCTTGCTCATGGTTTCAGATGTCTTCTCTAGCGTGGCTGTTGGGGATGGGGGCACTGGGGGACTGTCAGTTCATGGCACCTCTGCCCTTGCCAGGCTGCAGGCCCTACACCATCCCACCCTGTGAGCACCACGTCAATGGCTCCCGGCCGCCCTGCACTGGGGAGGGAGGAGAAACCCCCAGGTGCAGCCGGCACTGTGAACCTGGTTACTCACCTTCCTACAAGGAGGACAAGCACTACGGTAAGGGACGTGGCCTCCAATGCTGCTCAAGAGCTCCAGAACTGCTCCCTGAGGGGCTGAGCCTCTTCTGAAGCAATTCTATGGTGGCTGGTTTGGGTTCCTGGGCATCTGCAGAATGGGTGGTTCTTGGGGCACACATAAGCCTGTCAGATGTGCTTGTTTGTTAATGGGGGAGCTGGTGTGGGTCCTTGTGGCCTCACTGCAGCTGCTGGAAGGTGAGTCCCCTCACTGCTGTGATGGTGCCCGTGTCTGGGTTAAATGGCAAGGTCCTGAGCCCCCCAAGAGGGTGGCCTTGAAGCTGCTCCCTTCCTACCCACTGCTGGTAGTGATATTCTTCTATATGTGGGGTAGTCTGGCTGCTGCTTGGATATTTGTCTTAGCACCAAGTAATTTGTTTTGTTTTGGAAATGAAGTTGGACAAGAGGTACAGAGTAGGGCTTGGGGTTCTGCAAGTCGGCTGGGGCCCACTTTCCCTGCTTGGCTGTGTCATGATCTCCAGAGTACGAAAAACCATCTTGGCATGAGTTCTCTGAGTCATGGTACAGCCATCCCAAGGTCTGATGGGCTCAGTGGTGCTGTGCTGATAGTAGGACTTCTTTTACCTTGCCAGGCATCACATCCTATGGTGTCCCTCGCAGCGAGAAGGAAATCATGGCTGAGATCTACAAGAATGGCCCAGTGGAAGGAGCCTTTATTGTCTACGAGGACTTCTTGATGTACAAATCTGGTGAGCATCAGCTTCAGGGCTTCACCTGCTTCATCTGTGTGGCTTTTTCCCTGTTTGCAAGTCTGAAAGGAGTTCTCAAGTTCACAGCAGAGCTGCTGGAGTTGTAGGGCCCCTTCAATGCCATCTGTCCCACTCCCTGCACTGAGCAGGGACACCCACAGCTCCATCAGTGCTCACAGCCCCATCCAGCCTGACCTTGGCTATCTGCAGGGATGGGGCACCACCGCCTCTCTGTGCAACCTGTGCCAGTGTTTCCAGACTCTCCTTTATTCCATTTTTAAGCTTTTTCTTTGAGTGCATTTAACAAAAAGACCCCACTTTCTCATCAGGTCTCTGGGGTTCTGTATGGAATCCCTTGGTAGCCATTGGTGCTGTACAGCAGAAGGCCATTGACGTGTTGCCTTGCAGGGGTGTACCAGCACGTGTCAGGGGAGCAGGTTGGAGGCCACGCCATCCGGATCCTGGGCTGGGGCGTCGAGAATGGGACCCCATACTGGTTGGCTGCCAACTCCTGGAACACCGACTGGGGAGATAACGGTGAGGAGCACAGAGCTGTTGGTGCTGGAGGGTCTCCTTGGGCATTTGGTGCAGAGGGAGGTGACTTCTTTCCATGGTGTCCTTCCAGGCTTCTTCAAAATCCTCCGAGGAGAGGACCACTGTGGCATTGAGTCTGAGATCGTGGCTGGCGTCCCCAGGACGGAGCAATACTGGACGAGGGTGTAACCACCCTCCTGCATCACTGCTGATGAGTTGATCACACCACAAATAATCCCAAGTCCCTGACGCTTTTAACTGATAGCGGGTTGGGCGCAGAGCCCCCACTCTTAAGAGACTATAGTTGAGGTTCCTTTAATTAAAGCTTTTTATCTTTTTATTTCGTTCTGGTTTTAGTTGTACGGTGGAGCTGGAGGTGGCAGGTTGTGTATTCGTGCGAGCTGCTGTCTGCAAGCCCTCTGCTCCTGGTGGCTCGCAGCTGGAGGGCATTCCCTGCTCAGGGGACTGCTGGAGGGCTCTGTGACCCCACGTGCTGTGGTCTTTGGGTAGCCTGAAACCCTTCCAGCCCGATGTATTACTGGGAGGATGGGAATCATTGTGCTGGAAACAGGGACTTGGTGGGGCAGCAGAGATGGGAAATGCAGGTTGTGTCCATGCATGGCTTGTGCACTTGTGGCTGGGCTGGTCCAGCTGCTGTTGGCACCCAAAAGGAGCAGGGTGTGCAAGAGAGCCTGTGCCTTCCTGGATGGGTTAGGACTTTGTAATGACAGGAAACTGAAGAACCTGATGTGGGGCTGGCTCTGGCTGGAGCTGCATAGAGCCCCTCCTGCCTGCAACAAGTCATCTGTGCACTGCTCGCTCTGCTCCATTATTTTGGCTGCTTTTTAAACCACTCATTTTCTTTTTTAACTCTTTTTTTTTTTTTTTATTCCTTCCTGCTGTAGTCTGGGGTTATTGATCCTAGGGAAGGGCCTGGCCTGAGCTCCACGAGCCTTTGATCAAATGTCCTGCAGCACTGCTAGAAAGGGGAAGCTGCGTCTGTCAAAGGCAGCTTGGTTGTGCTTTGGGTCGTGCCTTGGTGAGGGTGCTGCTGTTAGCATGTTGGCGTGGTGCTTTGGGACTGCAGACCCTGAATGTCGGCTGCAAAGTGTTCCCCAGCTCTGCTGCAGGGAGCTCATACAGATGCTTGCAGGTATCTTGCTTATTTGCACACCTCTAAAGCTTTCTTTGAGCCACAAGTATCAAGGAAGAAATACCCTTATTTTTTTTTTAACTGGGGGGGGGCCCTGGCCCGGTGTAATAACTGTAGGAGGAATCGTATGATCTGCCCGTGCTAATGTAATGGAAGAACCTTTTATTTTCTCTGAAAGCACAGAGTCTATTGGCGAGCTAAGGCCACACAGCTGACATGAGTGAAGCAGGCTCTCCCCTTGTACTGTAAAATAGCCCCATACCTCTGCTTACTCATTGAAACAGAACTTTGGTGTATCTGAATGAAAGGACTGTGCCAATAAATGATTTCTCCAACACCTGGTGGTCACTTGTGCTTCGTGAGCTGAAACAACATCAAGCTGCACATAGCAGGGGGGGTGAAACCAGATGATCATTGTGGCCCTTTTCAACCCAGGCCATTCTATGATTCTTCTCGTTACTTTGCTGTCGTGGAAGCCAGGTGTGACCCTTTCATGCATGTCTTCATGTGAGTGCAGCCTGTGCTTGCTCTGGCTGTGCTGGGGACAGGGTGGCTGCAGCCAACGGGACACCTGCAGTCCCAACACAGAAATGCAGTGTGAGTTAGGAAGCATCCACACTCAGCTGAGCTGAGGGCTAGAACTTGTGGCAGGGCAAGGAAATACCACAATAAAAGAAAGAAGAGCCGAAAAAAATGCACAAAACACGTTTTTCTTTTTTTTTCTTTCCAAAGAAAACTTTAATTTCAACAAGACAGGAAGCTGCACAAAGGGAGCTACCACAAGTTCTTTTGAACAACAGCTTAAAACTATCTACAGCAGTCCTTGTAGAGTAGGGATCCTCCCTCCAAGTAACAGTCTGGCCACACAGGCTTGGCCTTACTACCTGGTAGATTTTTCTCTGTCCTGTACCAGGCTGTCCCCCCCCCATCACACAAAGCAGCAGTGGAGAATTAGGGACGCTGAAAACAATTGCAACCCAGGAAAACGAGACTTGAAACAGTTGTCTCCTCTTCTCAGCCCTGTTTGTTCACATTAGAAACATGGCCCACTCAAAAGTCCAGGCTGCTGTGTTTTCAAAGGAGCAGCGGAGAACTCTTCCATTTTATGTGCCAGCAGAACCCTAAGCATCCCCAGCTGCATCCCTGGGCCAGGGAAGCTTGCCCAGGCCACTCTCATCCCCTTGGGCTGAAGAAGTGCAGAGCCCAGACAGCAGAGGGTAGGTGGCACCTCCTTCCCCCTCCCTTTCACCACCCCTCAGCTGCTAAAATACAAAGCTCTACAACTCCACAGCGCAGTGCTTGAAGGAGATGCTGCAGATGGCTTTTAGCAGGATGCATGTTAACATCTCTAACATACTTAACAACAAAAGGGCTTGTTTCAAGCCTAGCAGCCTCTTCCAGTACAACACAAAAGTGAAGATTGCCCCTGTCCATTTCCAGGCTGCAGGATGTCACCCAGCCTCGGTTGGTGGCCAGAAGATGGCCAGACCTTTTAAGACCTTTTCAGTCCCTCCTTGCTGAAGCCAGAGCCCTCCATATGCTTCCAGTGTTGAAGTGATGGGGAAGGGGTTATGTAAGGGAGGCCAAAACCCAAAGGCTCCCATCCCAGTTCTGAGCTGGAAAGGGGCCTCAAATCTCAAGCAAGAAAAGAGGCAATTGAAGTTTCTATTTAAACCATCCTAACCAAAATAAGAATAGTAATAATGATAATCAGGTAAACTGTCCAACAGGAAAGGAGGAAAAAAAATGCAACCCCAAACAGTTAAGACTCCAACTGGCGTTTGTAACCATCTGTGCAGACAGAAGGATTGGGAAGGAGCGGGGTCTGACAATGCCACACCATCGCCCCGATGCTCCAACCCACCAGCATCCCATCCTCATCGCTGCCCGTGGACCCGGTGGCACCCGGCCATCCCCACCACCAGGGGACAAGGAGCCTCTGCTGCCCATCTACTGACCATCTCACTCCTGCCACCCTCCTGCTCTTCAGTTCTCACCCGCCTGGACGTACTCTTCGGTGGCCTTGGAGATGGTGCTGAGGTACTGCCAGCTGAGGGCAGCCAGGAGCATGGCACAGGACAGGTAGATGGGGGAATAGTGATGGCGTGAGGCCATGGGGCCGCTGGGCAGGCTCATGGCACGGATGGAGGCGATGATCTGCTGCGTCTTGTTGGATGAAGGGTCCGTGCTGGGGATCTTCTGGTAGATCTGGGGGAGGGGAGAAGGGGGAGCGTGGTTTACACACGTGGTTGAGGAGATAAATGGGATTTCTGCGTGGAAGAGGGAGCTTCGTGGGTCACAGGCACCACATCCTCAAGAGTAACCTCATGGTGGATGGCTCAGCTGCTGCACGGGGCCAAAGTCCACTTCCCTTGAGAAGTGCATTAAGCCAGGCAGCCTCTTGAGGGCACCCCATGATGGGAGATGTACTACCACGCCTCTGATACAAACATCAGCCACAAAGCAGTGCTCTGGGGCAAGTAGCTCTGGCCCAGCAAGCCTCACTCACTGCTGCTGGCTGGGCTGTAGCTCACCCAAATCAGCAAGGACACCCCAGGGTGATGAGCAGCTGGTGTGACTGCAGACAGTTATCTCAACTGGAAAACACCATGGTATTGGGGTTGGAAAATCCCGTTGCCATGGGTTTGGCCTGCCTCCAAAGGGAGCTCTAACAGCCCATGGTTTGGGGTCTCCCTGATGCACGACATGACATGTTTTTATTAAACACTCCCCACTGAATCCCATGAATCCATTCACTAGCTGTTCTTCTCTGTAAACTTTTAACACCCACAGTACCTTGAAGCCATGAGTTCCGCTGCTTTAAATACCTGCAAAGAGCCAGCCTTAGTTAATGCTGGCCTGGAAGTGCAAACACAAACTGCACCACATTAGCTGCAACTATGGACACGGTGAAAACAAGAGCACTAGCTGCAGAGCTGTCTTTGGGGAGATGATGCAACCTGTTTAGAAGAAAAGCACTGCTGGAACAGTCATCTTGCATGGTCAGATGGGAAGCTCTGGTGCTCTGAAAGCTGATTCATCTTACTCTCAATCAGAATCAAGACAAGACATTGGTCTCTGCCTCTTTGCACAGGCACAAACCAATGGTATGCTTAAAGGACCAAGCAGCCAGTTTGGCTGATGCCAACACCACGTCAGGTGTTCCGGCACTAATAGAAATGTAATGAAAAGATTAACAGATTCATGGGTCTGCAAGGGACAGCCAATTCCATGCCAGGAATGAGAACACAACAGCCAGAAATGATTCCAAGCAAGCTGTTCAACCTACCTCTTCCACATACTGGTACATGATGGCTTTGACAGATTGCATGTTTGTGGCATCCATCATCAGAGTGACAGCTTGTCCCTTCCGGATCTTCACTACCCCTCTGAATACCTGCTTGTTATTGTAGCAGGCAGCAAGAGTGGCAATAGCCATCACCTAAGGAGAAACACAAAGAACCCTTGTTACAAGCTGACTGCAAAGGAAATAGAATCATAGACTGCCCTGGGTTGAAAATGACCATAATGATCATTTAGTTTCAACCCCCCTGCTGTGTGCAGGATCTCCCACCAGCAGACCAGGCTGCCCAGAGCCACATCCAGCCTGGCCTTGAATGCCTCCAGGGATGGGCATCCACAGCCTCCCTGGGCAACCTGTTCCAGTGCTGTTCCAGAAATAACCTTGGTCCAAGTGACAACACTGGCAAAACACACTGGAGTGAAGCTGCAGTCTCAATCACCTACAGCAGAAGTGGCAGGTACCAGCATAATGCAGGCTATCACATGCTATGTAACCCTCCCACCTCCAACTTCAGATCATCTGGGCTGCAGATGAATGAATAACCACCTGTATGTAATAACCTACCTGGGGGATAGCACAGAAGTTGAAGACACTTTGGTTTTTCAGGCGAGACAAGTAAGTGAGGACATCAGGTACGTGGCGGAGAGCATTGGTGATGAGCTCATTCAGACACTGCACAGCCATATCTATGTTCTCTGGCTTGGTAAGGTCAGAGAGCTTCTTTGTGTATCTGCTCCAAACCTAAACAGCAAGATAAGGACTCAGAAGTTGGAGGGTACATTCATATCATAAAGGCGACACCAGTTACAGTGAGAGGTCGGGGGAACCAAGAATGATCAGAAGAGCCTAGGAGGACTGGGGCTTAGTAGGCTAAAGGAAGGGC